ATAATATATATATATATATATATATTACTTTTAATATTCTACTAAGGAATTAAAGTGGCACAGCGATACCATGCTTGGCCCATAATTCCCACGTCCATGGATCGAGACCTGGCTTTAGCATTTTAATAAAAGCTGCCACATCAATTGACATTTGAATAAAAAAAAAAGTTTTAGCAACCGATTTTAATTCGGTCGCTAAAAGATTCAAAAGTTTAGGATTAGCTATCGAATTAAATTCGGTCGCAATTTTTTTGATAATTTATTTAAAATTGGTCGCTAATTCTGTTGCAAGCCATGTTTTCATAAAACACAATTAAACAGTGACCGATTTAGCGACCGATTTTCTCGCTACCACTCTAATCCGTCGCTAATTCAGTCGTAACATAGTGACTGATAAATTTCGGTCGCTAAATCGGTCGCTAAATCGGTCGCTATATCGGTCGCTAATTCGGTCGCAAAATAGAGACCGAAAAATTTCGGTCGCTAATTTCGGTCGTTATTTCGTATTTTTCTTGTAGTGAAGGTAACTAATTTTTAAAAGTGATCTTTTATATATAAAAAAAAGTACTTTTTATGAAATAAGTTGCAATAAACCAACCCTAACTTAATCTTATTCTTAAAAAAAAAACATTCATTAAAAAATGTATAATTCATTTCTAAAAGCATATCTATACAATTAACCTAAGTTTAAATTTTATTCATTAAAAAAAATAATTTTCATTTTCCCAAAATTTTTCTATATAATAATAATTATTATTATTATAAATTTTTAACACATATTTTATTTTGTTTCTGTTGATACTTCATGAAATATTTTCTCTATAATTTTCTTATATTCAATGGGTTGTAATATACTGTGAAAATTAAATTTGTTCCATACTCTCATAGTAATAGAAGTTATTTAGCCACATATTTTTATTATAGTCACTAACGAAAAAAAAAACTGTGTTTTGTTTCTCTTTTAAAACTATAAATAAAATAAAAATTAGCCGTGAGTAATTAAAAGATTGAACAAAAAAGAATTATAATTATAAGAGTAGTTTTTATTAAAAAAAATAGTGAAAATAAAAAATAATTTAAAAGGTAATAAGGAATTGGGATAATCCCTTTATTAATAGATTCTTAGAACGATTCTTATGTTTTTTTTCCTAATACAATCTAGTGGCTATGTATCTTCCGCTACGTCATTACTATAAAGTGGGCCAAGAGTACTTTGTGAAAACTAACGTATAATGCGGGCCCATAGCACTTCTCTATGCCAAAGCTAACATAAACATTTTATTTATATAGAATTTCATTAAGTAGAATGAGGTAATTAATTTTAATTAAATACTCTCTCTCATAATAAATATCATATTAAAAATCTTAAAATAATTGTTATATTAATTTTTAACATAGTATTAATTTTTTATTTATATTCTTTATAATATAATATAAAATAATATTTTATAAAATTATTATTCTCTTTTATTTATTTATTATTGTTTTTAATTTATATAAGATAACATAAAACCACATTTATTATAGTACATAGAAATCCTTGAAAGAAATATTGAATGTAGGATACCTTTTTGGCGTTGATAACAAGTTACAAGTTTTTGGCTTTGGAATCTGCCGCCACGTCACTACTATAAAAGTGGGCCAATAGCACTTCCTTGTGAAAACCAACGTAAAATGTGGTTCCTCTCGTTGATAACAATGTTAGTTTTCGGGAAAACTACAAACTTCAAAAAATATTAACTTTGCCTTTGAACTTTGAAGACTTCATTATTTTTTTTTCTTGTTTTAATTAATTAATTCAATTTTTTATTATTAAAATATTTAACTTAATCTCTTAATTTTAAATGGTTATTTTTATCTAATTGAAATTAAAATTAAATTTTTATATATTGATGATACGTGTCTCTTTTTTTTATTATATTATTATGTTATGTGTAAAATAAAATTAACATCGTTAGTTTTAATTAAACAGAAAAAACCACGTTGTGTTAAAGATCAAAATTGATTAAAAAAAACAAGGGAAATTAATTGAATTAATTAAATAAAATTAGATATTGAACCATTCTCGAATAAAAACTAGTGCTATAAATGTAAACTGGAACCCATATATATTAGCAGTTTGTTTTAGACTTTTTAGTCCACTTTCCTCATTCAAGATAAATGGCAGAAGCAACAACAGGGTAACATTTTTTCATGGCCTCACTTTCTTCAATGTACTATGTATTGATCGAACCACAACACAAGCTTCATGTTAACATAGCTATAGTGACTCACATGAATGTTGTTAAATTGGTTTGTAGGTACGCTGTTGTGACTGGAGCAAATAAAGGGATTGGATTTGCAATATGCAAGCAATTGGCTTCAAATGGCATCACTGTGGTGCTGACAGCCAGAGATGAGACGAGGGGTCTTGAAGCTGTTGAGAAACTCAAAGAACTTGGTCTCAATGGCCATGTGCTTTTTCATCAACTTGATGTTGCAGATCCTGCAAGTATAGGATCACTTGCAGATTTCATCAGGAACCAATTTGGAAAGCTAGATATTTTGGTAAGAAATTTCTTTGGTTGTTTATAATGTTATCATCACATTTGTAATTGTAAGAGAAGAGTGATCATAACACAGTGTTTAACATATAGTCGTTCAAATTTATTAAAAGTTAAAAAATTAGAAGAGACTCGATAAATAAAAATAAGATGCGAGAATCACAAATTATAATGTATATTTGATTATGCAATTGGATATTCTGAATAACCAGAAATATTTGAAACTTGGAAATTTGTGTAGGTAAACAATGCTGGAATTCCTGGAGCACATGTGAACGGTGAGGCTTTGGTTGCTGCTGATATAGTGGTATGATTTTATTTCCCCTTCACGTGTTTACCCCTAAATTTAAGCAAGTTTTATTCAAAATTAATTAGAGAATAATATCTAGTATTGGAAATTGAATTTAGTGTAATTGTTAGTGCAAAGTGCATTCCAGATTAGCTGCATCGTGTCTTGGTGTTGAATATTGTTAACCAATGCCAAACAAGAAAGTTGAATCAAAGCAATAGGACATGAGAAGAGAAAACTGAATTACATTTGCAGTGAAATGTGAAGATTGAATGAATATGAATATTTTGATGAGAATTCACTTCCGGTGCTTTTCCTTTCTTTACTATGGTGAATTATCTTTCCCATCAATAAAGAAAGGGATTGACAAATTGTACATAAATTGAATCAACTATTAAAATTTTCACGTCATGTATTAGTAATCAAAGGGTGTGAAGGGTAAAGATCCATCACATGCATATGAAAGGTAGAAAGCATAATACTTAAAGTAACATTGTAATTGATAAGATGGAAATTATACAATGGAGACTCTTATTTGTAGAGCTGATTGTGTTGCTGACTCATTAACGTTTTCTATAACCTCCATATTATCATGATTTGCACCAATTGTTTCCCTTATCAAAAAAGAAATCAAGTTTCTTGAATTTTGGTTGCAGAAACATGCTGGCCGTGTTGATTGGAGTAAAATAGTAACTAATAGCTACGAATTAACAGAAGCAGCTCTTAAAACAAACTACTATGGAGCCAAGGAACTGACCACAACACTTATTCCCCTTCTCCAGCTCTCAAGCTCCCCAAAAATTGTCAATGTTTCATCATCCATGGGAAGACTAGAGGTATGTAAGATACACTGATACAAGTAACTTTTTGCCCCTCACTTTGGTAGCTCGATTTGTAACTTAGCTTTTGAAAATATTGATGTTTTTGTGTACATTGTGTTTGCAACCAGATATGTATGTCATCTAAAATTAAATGACTAGGTTAATTGATTTATTGTCTATTAGAGAAAAAAAATTCATCAGAATGGAATATAGTACTAAGGACTAAGTGTTTACAACAACTCACGCACTCTGATCGACCAACAGATTCAAACCTATTTGATGTCTATTAGTGCAACTGAAGGTGATGTATGTTCTCAATTTTTTATTTTTTTGCAGAATATACCAAATGGTTGGCCTAAAGAAGCACTGAGTGATGTTGAAAACCTTACAGAAGAAAAGATTGATGAGATTTTGAATGAATTTCTAAAGGACTTTAAAGAGGGTTCACTAGAAACCAAAGGTTGGCCCCTTGCTATGCCTGCATATAGTGTCTCAAAAGCTGCTCTGAATGCCTACACAAGGGTTCTGGCCAAGAAGCACCCCTCATTCTGCATCAATGCTCTTTGTCCTGGCTATGTGAAAACAGACATAAACTACAACGCTGGTATTCTAACACCTGATGAAGGTGCTGAAGCTGCTGTGAGATTGGCACTGCTACCTCATGGTGCTCCTTCTGGCCTCTTCTTCTTTCGAACCGAAGAAAAACCATTCTGATAATGGATTGTTGCTAGAAAACATAAAATGGGTTACTGATATCACATGAAGCCATGTTTGTTGCTAGATTTTCTAGACTTTAAATTAACTCTCGATATTCACATGTTTTAAGTTAGCTTTTCTTGCAATATAAAAACAAGAACCATGTCTAAGCAGTAATATGGTTTCTCATGTTTGAACTAGTTTTACATTCTATCAAATAAAGGAGTAATGTTGAAATTAATGTCTCAAGTATGTTTGATTTGTGCAAAATAGGATAGTTAAAAGGAAATTTTTGGCAGGAAATGTATTTACAACGTCAGACCAATGTTTAGCACACTATCACACTAAATCTAACGCCACTTACCATCGTTGAAAATTGAAATACTCAAGTACTCAACCATTTTTTATATGCATCTAACTGGTCGTTTACTATTGCACTTGTTCAAGGTTTCTATTTTTCTTTTCTTACCAAAATTAATGTGCTGTATCAGCATTATAATGCTTCCAATGATTCTTGTGCACGGGTTGATAACTTCCTCAAGTGGAAAAAATCATTCTATATTTTACTCAAGAATGAAACAATATATGAGAATTTTATGGTGAAAAGAAGGCGAGTATTTATTCATGTATTTTTTTTTACGACATCTAAATCATGATTCATTAGTTTTTTTGTCTAATAGAATACATTAGATATTTCCTTCGCCCATAAAATTAGCATAATATGCTACTTTTTTATATAATAAAATTGACTTATCATACTTTATTAAATGAATATAGTATATTTTTTTAATAAATTATGTACTTGAATGAAATTAGGTTGAAAATACATTAATAATTTAAGTATGATTTTTTAACTCATAGGTCAAATATTTATTATATATAACTAAAATTTATAATAAATTATATATATACAATATATTGAATATATAAATTATATTTAAAATTTGTTTGCATAGATATTTTTAAACATTGATATTATATTTTATATTTTAGATAAATAATTTATATTATAATATAAGATTATTTTAAATTATTAATAATTTATTTTAAAAATAAAATTTAATTTATAAACAAGTAAATATGATAAATAAAAAAATTAGACTATAAAAGGAAGTTAAAAAAATCTTTAAACCATTCCTATAAAAAAATAAAGGGAGCTTGAGCACTATCGATTAAAGGTTGATTTGTGATTTTTTTTATATGTATAATTGCCTTTCATTAAATCAACCAATACACTATTCTGTATATATCTAAATCAAAGATTAAATTATAATTTGTGGTTAAAAAATATAAGTGTTATCATATAAATTTGAATCGCTATTATTATTTATTAATAAAAATATTTTTAAGAGTTATTCTCATCTATTAAATTTAGGATAAATTTTTTTTTTGATCTTTCAAATTTAAAATTATTTTTTTAATTTCTTTAAATTTTAAAAATCTTGTTTTAGTCACTCAAATTAAATTACCAATAACATATATAAAAATGACAAATTGAGACAATTATGCATCATCAAGTTAAATTTAATTTAATATTTTCACTAATAAAGACACCATTAAATAGATTTTATAAAGCAATATTTGATAAATTTTCTAATAAAATTTAAGTATAAAGATTAAAATAAATTTTTTTAAATTATAAATATTAAAAAAATCAGTTTTTAATTTAAAAATTGAAAAATAAATTTAACTTAAATATAAAAGACTAAAAGCATATCTAAGCATTAATTTAATTAACAACCTCCCATAAAAATTCACCTTTCTTAAACCACTTTTCTTTTATCTTTATCTATGCACTTGGTTTTCTTAGTCCCTTAATATCTCTTTCAATCTATTCTTCGCAATTTATTTCTTTTTTGGGTATACATGACTCAAATTTATTTCTAAATTGAATTTTAATAATTTTTAAAAGAAAATGCTAATAATAAAAAATAACAAAATATTAATCACCAAAAATAAAATAACAATATATTACAATATAAATTTTTATTATGAATTTAACATGTAATTTATATGTTTAAAAGTATTTTTCATTACAAATATAATTTATATATTTAAAATATTTATTAATTTTAAACTTAATTATATAAAAATAAAAATTTATCATATGTATTGTTCAAACTTTAAAAAAAAAAAAAAAGTTTTTTAAAAAAAAAAAAAAAAAAAAAAAAAAAAAACTTGTTATAAATAGCAAATAACTTGCTTTGATTGGTGTTCTTTGTTTATCCCTTTGAAAACTTCACAACCATAGAATTTTTTTAAAAGCCACCGCTTAACAAACACACTAGAAGGCAAGAAAGCTTGGTTGAACATCTTTTCCTCTCAGTCAACACATGCAATGTTACGCCTTCAAGTCTAAAAACAACAATGAAGAACAAAGAAGATGTGATATTGCATAAGCAGTGACAACAATGAAAAACAAAGAAGATGTGATATTGCATAAGCAGTGACGTTCTTGTACTTTGTAAATTTTACGGGGATAAAATTGTAATTCGGATTCTATATAATTTTTCGATATTATATTAACAGTACGTTCATTATTTGAGATCTTAAAAAGTATGATTAATGGTGTCAAAAATAAGTATGATTAATTGTATCTTCGAATAATAACAGTTCAGAACCTCTTGTATATATCTTATTTAGTGCAGCTTATTTCACTGTTTGAGCAACAAAATAGATTGAAATTAGTTTCTTATTAACTGTTAAATAAAATTGTTGTTTTAATTCATAGGATATGATTTACAATGTTTTTTTTTTTAATTTTAAAAAATAATAGAAAAGAAAAACACTCTCAATACTACCTAGCAGAATGTCAATAACATGCTAAGACTACTAATAGAGACTCATCTAAAAAAATTACTGTACAGGTCAGTTGCAGTTATTCAACTCTCTAAATTAAATGATTTACAATGTTAATTATAAGGTTTATCAGCTTCCATATTTATTGTAAGACTTTATGTATAACTATGTATCTTAAACTTTGTAAGATATGGTCTTTTTAGGCATATAATAAAATCTTATATAATATATCTTAAATCTTGTGTATCGTCAAGTGTTTATATGCAATTAGTCTTTTATTTGCTTGGTCGCAAATATAATTGTTGGGAAAAGAAGCTTTCAAACAGCGGAAGCGCGCACACAAAAATAGAGAAACAAAAAACAAACTCAGAAATTAACGTGGTTCGACACTTCTTGCCTACATCCACAAACAACTCATTTTATTTCTCCACTTGCAATTTTTACGAGGACAAAATTGCAAACCCTCTCATTCACAAGTTTTCTGGAAAAACTTGGAAACCTTCATACACAAGTTTTCTGGCGAAACTTGGAAACCCTCTCATGACACACAACTACCCAAGTCCCCAATACACCCATTGGAACCAATGTTGTTGTGGTGAGTAGACCCAAACTATCACCCCTTATTTATAGTAGTAGTCTAGTCTACCACTTCCCTTCTTCAAACTACCCAATTTGGGACTTTGGAGGATACCCACACACATTGGGCACAACAAATCCTCCCTTCATCCAAAGTCTCACATTAATCCATCATCATTCACAAGTTTTCTGGCGAAACTTGAAAACCCTCCTTCACAAGTTTTCCTGGCGAAACTTAAAAACCATCTCTTCACAAGTTTTTCTGGCGAAACTTGAAAACCATCTCTTCACAAGTTTTTCTGGCGAAACTTGAAAAACCCTTTCCCACAAGTTTTCTGGCGAAACTTGGAAACCCTCCCTTCACAAGTTTTATGGTTGAAACTTGAAAACAATAATTAAGGTTTGTTTGAACTAATCCACTTGAATTTGAACTCTTGAATAAAGATAATCAAGTGATGTAGGCATCAAGTTGAACCCATTTATTAGTAAAAAAGATCATTCTTGGACACCCATAATACCTATTTCCCACCTATAAAATGTGGGGGTGTCTAAATGTAAATAGCCTTATTAGTAAATTGTTTTAATCCACATTCTTAGGCACTTCCCTCTTTCACGAGCAATATGGCAGAAGCAGCAAAAAGGTAACATTTTCCTTAGACTCCCTTTCTTCAATGTACTCTGCATTTAACCGTAACTTTGCATTAACAAAACTATAGTGATTCATATCAATGTTGTTTGTAGGTACGCTGTTGTGACTGGAGCAAATAAAGGGATTGGATTTGCAATATGCAAGCAATTGGCTTCAAATGGGATCACTGTGGTGCTGACAGCCAGAGATGAGAAGAGGGGTCTTGAAGCTGTTGAGAAACTCAAAGAACTTGGTCTCAATGGCCATGTACTTTATCATCAACTTGATGTTGCAGATCCTGCAAGTATAGGATCACTTGCAGATTTCATCAGGAACCAATTTGGAAAACTAGATATTTTGGTAAGAAATTTCTTTTGTTGTTTATAATGTTATCATCACATTTGTAATTGTAAGAGAAGAGTGATCATAACAGTGTTTAACGCACTTCTTGTAACATATAGTCGTTGAAATTTATTAAAAGTTACAAAATTAGAAGAGACTCGATAAATGAAAATAAGATGTGAGAATCACAAATTATAATGTATATTTGATTATGCAATTGGACATTCTGAATAACCAGAAATATTTGAAACTTGGAAATTTGTGTAGGTAAACAATGCTGCAATTCCTGGAGCACATGTGAACGGTGAGGCTTTGGTTGCTGCTGATATAATGGTATGATTTTATTTCCCCTTCACGTGCTTACCCCTAAATTTAATCAAGTTTATTTAAAATTAATTAGAGATTAATTTCTAGCATTGGAAAATGAATTTACTGTAGTTGTTAGCGCAAAGTGCATTCCAGATTAGCTGCATCGTGTCTTGGTGTTGAATATTGTTAACCAATGCCAAACAAGAAAGTTGAATCAAAGCAATAGGACATGAGAAGAGAAAACTGAATTACATTTGCAGTGAAATGTGAAGATTGAATGAATATGAATATTTTGATGAGAATTCACTTCCGGTGCTTTTCCTTTCTTTACTATGGTGAATTATCTTTCCCATTAATAAAGAAAGAGATTGACAAATTGTACATAAATTGAATCAACTAATAAAATTTTCACGTCATGTATTAGTAATCTAAGGGTGTGAAGGGTAAAGATCCATCACATGCATATGAAAGGTAGAAAGCATAAGACTTAAAGTAACATTTTAATTGATAAGATGGAAATTATACAATGAAGACTCTTATTTGTAGAGCTGATTGTGTTACTGACTCATTAACGTTTTCTATAACCTCCGTATTATCATGATTTGCACCAATTGTTTCCCTTATCAAAAAAGAAATCAAGTTTCTTGATTTTTGGTTGCAGAAACATGCTGGCCCTGTTGATTGGAGTAAAATAGTAATTAATAGCTACGAATTAACAGAAGCAGCTCTTAAAACAAACTACTATGGAGCCAAGGAACTGACCACAACACTTATTCCCCTTCTCCAGCTCTCAAGCTCCCCAAAAATTGTCAATGTTTCAGCATCCATGGGAAGACTAGAGGTATGTAAGATACACTGATACAAGTAACTTTTTGCCCCTCAATTTGGTAGCTCAATTTGTAACTTAGCTTTTGAAAATATTAATGTTTTTGTGTACATTGTGTTTGCAACCAGATATGTATGTCATCTAAAATTAAAAGACTAGGTTAATTGAATTATTGTCTATTAGAAAAAAAAAATCCATCAGAATGGAATATAGTACTAAGGAGTTAGTGTTTACAACAACTCACGCACTCTGATCAACCAACAGAGTCAAACCTATTTGATCTCTATTAGTGCAATTGAAGGTGATGTATGTTCTCATTTGTATTTTTTTTTGCAGAATATACCAAATGGATGGCCTAAAGAAGCACTGAGTGATGTTGAAAACCTTACAGAAGAAAAAATTGATGAGATTTTGAATGAATTTCTAAAGGACTTTAAAGAGGGTTCACTAGAAACCAAAGGTTGGCCCCTTGCTATTCCTGCATATAGTGTCTCAAAAGCTGCTCTGAATGCCTACACAAGGGTTCTGGCCAAGAAGCACCCCTCATTCTGCATCAATGCTCTTTGTCCTGGCTATGTGAAAACAGACTTAAACTACAACGCTGGTATTCTAACACCTGATGAAGGTGCTGAAGCTGCTGTGAGATTGGCACTGCTACCTCATGGTGCTCCTTCTGGCCTCTTCTTCTTTCGAACCGAAGAAAAACCATTCTGATAATGGATTGTTGCTAGGAAACATAAAATGGGTTACTGATATCACATGTTTTAAGTTAGTTTTTCTTGCAATATTAATTTTAAACTTAATTATATAAAAATAAACATTTATCATATGTATTGTTCAAACTTAAAAAAAAAAAAAAAAAAAATTAAAAAAAAAAAAAAAAAAAAAAAAAAAAACTTGTTATAAATAGCAAATAACTTGCTTTGATTGGTGTTCTTTGTTTATCCCTTTGAAAACTTCACAACCATAGAATTTTTTTAAAAGCCACCGCTTAACAAACACACTAGAAGGCAAGAAAGCTTGGTTGAACATCTTTTCCTCTCAGTCAACACATGCAATGTTACGCCCCGACGCTTCAAGTCTAAAAACAACAATGAAAAACAAAGAAGATGAGAATGTATCAATTAGAGTAGCCTTAGGAGATTTTTTTTATAACTTTATCTAGGTAAACAATGCTGGAATTCCTGGAGCACATTGGGACGGTGAGGCTCACTTGTTGTGGTATGATTCATTCCCACCTAATGTTCATATGTTTAACCGGATGTCGGGCACGTGTGTAGCTGAGTATCATGTGCACACGAACGTCTGTCCTAAACATCATGCGTGTGTGTGACTAAACATTCTTGATTTTGGTTGCAGGAAGATCCTGGTAATGTTGATTGGAGTAAAATAGTAACTGAAACCTATGAACTATCTGAAGCATGTTTTAAAACAAACTACTATGGAACCAAGGAATTGACCAAAACACTTATTCCCCTTCTCCACTTTTCAAACTCCCCAAGAATTGTCAATGTTTCATCATCCATTGGAAGTCTAGAGGTATGTGATACTAATAACCCACTTTGTTTGGTTACTTTGGTACCCCTTTTTTACATATCTAACTCATAAAATGGAAGGATGCAATTTCGATGATAAAATGCATTTCCAACTGTTAATTGAAAAAACAAGAATGGTCACTCCTCCTAACACATTCTCTTACGAGAGAACTTCTAAAATAAGTTAATTTTAACTTTTAGAGGAATTTATTTTATCTTTTTTCTTTTTCGTTTCTTAACTTATTAGTGTTTAGAGAAAGTGTAATTTAATTACTTTGGTTTTAACCTATATTTCACTGTGATCAGTTGAATGCATTTGAAGATGATGCTTATGATTTTCTTTTTCTTTTTCAGAACATACCAAATGGATGGCCTAAAGAAGTACTGAGTGATGTTGAAAACCTAACGGAAGAAAAGATTGATGAGATTTTGAATGAATTTCTAAAGGACTTTAAAGAGGGTTCATTAAAAACAAAAGGATGGCCTCTTGCTATTCCTACATATAGTATCTCAAAAGCAGCTGTGAATGCCTACACAAGGATCGTGGCCAAAAAGTACCCCTCATTCTGCATTAATGCTCTTTGCCCTGGACATGTCAAAACAGATATAAACCAAAATACTGGTGTTCTAACACCTGATGAAGGTGCTGAAGCTGCTGTGAGGTTGGCTCTAATAGAAAACAAAAAGATGATCGGGAGAGAAGAAGGAAAGGAATAATATGAGAATGAATATTTCTCTCTCACTATGAAACCAATACAAAAGGTCTGAATATATACAAGCAGTACACCTTTTCTAGGCTTAACCGTAAAGCAAAATATCAAAGCAATGAACTAATAAAAATAAGACACCTGTACAAAAAGATCAGGAAAGAATAAAAAAAGATCACAACTTGTTTTTATCAGAAAAGACAAAATAGCAGAATTGCTATTAGCTTCCTTCTAGAAGCTTGTATCCATATCCTTTGATACCCCCCACAAGCTGGGGAGCAAATGTTGATGAGACCCAGCTTGGAACAAATACTCTTGAAAGATTGAGGACTTAAGGCTTTGGTATAGATGTCTGCTAGCTGCTCAGTGGTGGAAATGGGAAGCAAATGAATGAGACCCTTCTTCAATTTTTCCCTGACAATATGGCAGTCTATTTCTATGTGTTTCGTGCGCTCATGAAACACTGGGTTTGCTGCAATGTATCTAGCTGAGTCATTGTCACAGTACAAAAGAGATGGTTGCTCAAAAAAAACTTTGAAATCTTGAAGAAGATAAGTTAGCCATTGAATTTCACATGTAACAGCAGCCATTGCTCTATATTCAGCTTCACAAGAACTCTTTGATATTGTTCTTTGCTTCTTTGATTTCCAAGATACGAGGGAATTTCCAAGATACACACTAAAACCAGTCACTGATTGTCTTGAATCACTGCAAGTGCCCCAATCACTATCACAAAAGGCTTTTAGATGAGCAGAATTGCTGGAGGAGAAAAACAAACCAAGACTTGGGGCTCCTTTAATATATCTAAGAATTCTAATTGCTGCAGTATAATGAGCTATTGTAGGTTTAGCAAGAAACTGAGAGAGTTGCTGCACAGAAAAGGTGATGTCAGGTCTAGTATTAGTGAGATACATAAGCCTTCCAATCAATCTTCTGTATGCTTGAACATCTGTGAAAGGTGCACTTCCCGTAGAAGACAATTTGACAACATTATCAATTGGAGTGACTGCAGGTTTGCATGCTAAAAGACCTGCATCTGTCAGTAATTCCAGTGCATATTTCCTTTGATTCACTATTATCCCTTTCTTGCTTCTTGCTACTTCAAGACCAAGAAAATATCTCAAATCCCCAAGATCCTTGATCTTGAATGTCTCATTCAAGGCTTGTTTGATTCGATCAATCTCTTCTTTATCATTTCCTGCCAATATTATATCATCTACATACACCAATAATGTTGTAAGACCCTTCATAAGAATTAATGAACAAGGAATGATCATTCATAGATTGTGTGTATCCACCAGAAAGCAAAAAATATGATAATTTGGCAAACCATTCTCTACTGGCTTGCTTAAGGCCATATAAAGCCTTTTGTAATTTACAAACTTGTCCTGGTTGAATAGAAGTCAATCTAGGAGAAGCAACCATGTATACATCTTCTTTCAACTCTCCATGTAAAAAGGCATTGTTTATGTCCAGTTGTTTTAGTTCCCAGTTATAGATAGAAGCTGGGGAAAGAAGCAACCTTATAGTTGTCATCTTTGCTACTGGAGAAAAGGTATCAAGGTAGTTAATACCTTCTGTTTGGGTGTACCCCTTTGCCACTAGTCTTGCCTTATACCTTTCAACAGTGCCATCAGGCTTATATTTTATTTTGAACACCCATTTACAACCTATGGCAGCTTTGTCCTTAGGCAGAAGAGCAACCTCCCATGTTTGATTTGACTCCAAAGCAGATATCTCACATTGTATAGCCTTTCTCCAACAGTCATATTTTATAGCTTCAGAATAAGTGTTTGGCTCAACATGTGAAGAAATAGACATAACAAAGGATGAGTAAGCAGATGATAATTTATTATAAGACAAAACAGAATTCAAAGGATATTTAACTCTTGAAGATGTATTGGAAACATTAATATTACAATGGTAATCCTTTAGATACTCAGGTGGTTTTTTTGTTCGGGTACTCATTCGAATTGGCTGATGAGATTCTGAATTTTGTTCTGTATCATGGTCTTCATTGAGGTTTTGGTCTATTTGTGGGCTTACTTCTGCTGGAACTTCAATGTCAGATTCATGGTCATTATTACTATTATTATCATAATTATCACAAGGTATAAGAATGACTTGTGATGGCTGACTCAAAATGGGTTGATCTTCAATAAAAAAACTTTGATCATGAATGTTAGGACTGTCAGTTTCACTGTTAGCATCCTAAACCTTTTGATACGGAAAAACATGTTCATGGAAAACAACATCCCTAGACACAAAAATTTCTCTGGATTGAATATTTAACAAAACATATCCTTTTGTTCCCCTTTTAAAACCAAGAAAAACACATTTCGATGCCCTTGGATCAAATTTTCTTCTATTTGTTGACAAAGTGCTAGCATAGCATAAAGATCCAAACACCTTTAATTGATTAAAATTTGCTTCAGTTTTGTAAAGCATTTCATGAGGAGAAAAATTATCTAAAACAGGTGTGGGAAGCATGTTTATAATGTGGGCAGCATGTATCACAGAATATGACCAGTAAATTTTGGGCAAATGAGATTGTATCATGAGAGCTCTTGCTACGTTTAATAAATGACCATGTTTCCTTTCAACTATACTATTTTGTTGTGGAGTATTGACACACGAGGTTTGGTGCATTATCCCTTTATTGGCAAATAAATTAGTCATGAAAAATTCAGTCCCATTGTCACTTCTTATGATTTTTATTGTTGTCTCAAATTGTGTTTGAACAAAAATAACAAAATTTTCCATAGTCTTGACAGTTTCAGATTTTTGTTTTAAAAGAAAAATCCATGTGTACCTTGAACAATCATCAACTATGGTCAAGAAATATTTATGACCATGAATTGATGGTATTGAGTATGGTCCCCACAAATCAACGTGAATCAGATCAAAACATTTTTGAGATTTAGAAACGGAAGTCTCTTTTGCTTTGCATAATGACAAATATCACAAACATATGATTTGTTATATTTAACAAAAGGAAATTTATTCTTGATAACATCAATACATTTTTTTGAAACATGCCCTAATCGAAAATGCCAAAGGGTTTCTAGATCACTAGCAGTGAAATTGACACTATTGATGGTATGTGTAAATTTGGTGGGTTTGATTTGAAGTTTGTGATAAAATGGGACCCTGAGTATATAAAGCATATCTTGCATCTTAGCTGAACCAATCATCTTCAAGGAGTTCTTGTCCTGAATGTGACAACCATCAGAGTCAAAGGTAAGCACACATGATAAATTATCAATTAACTTTGCTACCGAAAGAAGATTAAAAGTGAAACAAGGAATATACAAAACATTGTGTATGACATGATTTTGATTGAGAAAAACACTTCTAGAATAATTGGCAGTGACTTGATTTCCATTTGGCAACTTGACACAGATAGGATTAATTTGATGATATGAAGTAAAATGAGTCAAAGATGAACAAATGTGGTCAGTGGCACCACTATCAAGTATCCAAGAACTAAAGGAATAAGGAGATTTATTAACAGAGACTTGATTTGAAACATTGCCAGTGGATTTAGATTGTTGTAAAAGAGCTAACAATGCTTGACACTGCTCAGGAGTAAAATTAATTTGCTGAGGCTGTAATTTTGCCTTTGAACCTTCATGATTCTGCTCACCATCATCATTAGAACTTGCATTTTGAAATACTGCATTAGCATGACTTTGATCATGTTTCTGATTTTAAAACTTAAAATGAGGTGGAAAGCCATGCTTTCTATAACATGTATCAATGGTATGCCCTGTCTTTCCATAATGACTACAGATTTTAGAAGCATTTCCTCTTCCATAGCTTCCTCTTCCATAACCAGAACCTCTTCCATAACTTGCAGTGTTGTTTTTATAGCCCCCTCTGCCAATAACAGCCATTGCCTTGGACTGATCACCAAAAATTTGTCTCTCTTGTTGTATAACAAGTTTTCTCTATTCAAAGATGGCAAGGGATCCATCAATAGAATTTGAGTTCTAACAGTCAAATAGTTATCATTTAGCCCCCTTAGAAATTTAATAACCTGTTCTTGTCCTTTATATTTAGCAACATTCCCAAGAGCACTACAGGTGCATTTAAAAGCACAAGAAAAAGCAGGTAATGGGCGCAAAAGATCAAGCTCATCCCAAAGAATTTTGAGCTTAGTGAAATAGTTTGTAACACTCAACTCACCTTGTTTGAAAGAAGAAATCATCTCTTGAAGATCAGAAATGCGAATCATGTCTCCTTGTGAGAACCTGTCCTTTAAATCATTCCATATGTCGAAGGCGTTGTCCATACAGATAATGCTCTGTGCAATGGATGGACAAATAGCCTTGAGCATCCAGGAAACAACCAGCATATTGGCTCTTTGCCATGCTGGAAATAATGAGCTGGTACGAGTGGGAGCTTCTATGGTTCCATCAATGAAACTTATCTTGTTCTTTGAAATGAGACTCATTCTAAATGAATGTGACCAATGGTGATAGTTTGGTCCCTCAAGAACATTCGGGACAATGAGAAAGGAGGGATTATCAGATGAACTGACATGGTAAGGGGAACTAAGGTCTTGTGAGGGATCAATAACTTCAGCCATGTGTAAAAGTAGCAATCAGAGCCCTGAAAATCAGAGCTCTGATACCATAATAGAAAACAAAAAAGATGATCGGGAGAGAAGAAGAAAAGGAATAATATGAGAATGAATATTTCTCTCACTTTGAAACCAATCCAAAGGTCTGACTATATACAAGCAATACACCTTTTATAGGCTTAACCGTAAAGCAAAATATCAAAGCAATGAACTAATAAAAATAAGACACCTGTAAAAAAAGATCAGGAAAGAATAACAAAAAAGATCACAGTTTATTTTTATCAGAAAAGACAAAATAGCATAATTGCTATTAGCTTCCTTCTAGAAGCTTGTACCATATCCTTTGATAAAAATTATATTACATTAACTATTAATTACAATACAAATATAAAACTTCATTATAATTGATAAAAAATTATTAACTATCATAAAAATAAATATTATTAACATATTATTTTTTTATTAAAAATAAAATTAATTTTGATGTTAAAACTTTTTTGTTGAGTGACATCAATTGTTTTGAAAAGAGATCTAAGTGAGTTAAGTCATATAATCGATACTTGAGACAACTATCGAGAGAAAGAGTTTATTTGTTGGGTGACATATCTCGTGGCAAAATTCTAAATAGGTCAAATCACAGTGAATCCAACAAAATTATAAATATTTATGTTCATTATCCAATACATTCAAACTCTATTGAATATAAAGGCGTTATAATAGAATAATTTGGTGATTTTAATATTTAATAATTTTGACGTTTTCTTTCTTTAATGTCTTACATGCTCTTGAATTACAAAAGGAACATCTATTTAATATAATTTACGATTCAAATTTTTAAAAATTAATATTAATATGTCATTTAATATATTTCTATATTATAACTATTTAACCGACTAAAGATAACATTAATATCAAGAAAAAAATTAATTAAATCTAAATTACTTGAGTGAAAAAATAATTTCCGTATTTTTAATATATATATATATATATATATATTTAAATATAAATTAATGTAAACATTAATAAAATGAAACTCCAAAAAATTATTGTATTGATATATAAATAAATAAATTTTTACAATGATATTATTTTAATTATATGCATGTAATTTAATAGTTATTTTAATGGAGAATTATTGCATAGAGAACTTATGAAAAAAATTGTGCATTTAAGTCCTCACTCAAGAAGACAATGTTGCATGAAGAACTTATGGAAAAGTTATCCACTTTATTGTATTTAATTAATAATTAATAACAATAAAAATAATAATACAATATATACTATCTTTTGTAACTGATTTTTTTAATCAAATTCAATCTCTTGATTTTTTTATTTATTAATATATATACTAATTATATTAACTACGATTTCAAATTATTCGTTACTTAATACTATTTGTAATGATATTATATAAGTTTTCATAATTATTAATACTAAAAAGATATTTGATTACAATTAATTATTTTAATTATAATTTTATAAAAATATTGATTGAATTTTATTTACTAAAAAAAATTCAATCTTTATTTGGTTATGTCAAAAAGTAATTAATTAAAAAAATACAAATTCAAAAAAATATGATTTATGTGAGAAGAAAAATAGAAAATAGAATTTTTTTAAAAACGATTGAAAATATCTTAAGTCTTTTAGTCATGCACAATTCTTCTATAAAAAAATAAACCATTATGGTATTAGTGACATTTATCTTGTCTAGAATTTGTTGTAAAATGTTCAATTTCTTTAATGGAATATCTCAAGACATCAAATTCAATATTAACAAGCTCTCTTTCTTTCATTTCCCTTGAAAGTATTTTGTATTAACAAATAATTATAATTCATATTTAACATATTGAATGTCAAATAATAATAATAATAATAATAATAAGTTATCTTTGTAGCTTTTTATATACAATTTCTATCAACTTCTCATTCTTCATTTGTCAATCTTGTGTGACATCAACATGAAAACCCTAAAACTCAATTTCACAATGAAATTACAATATTTCTCAATTTTTCAATTGTCCTTCTCATGTAAAAGGAGTTATTAAATTCAAAAATATATGAGAGAAAATAATGAGAAGAATGAGAATGAAAGGAGAAAATGTACCTTCATCTCTTTGACAACAAACGATGAGAGTTTGATAATAGAGGAAGAAATTGAATATCTATTAATAATGTAATTCAGATCGACTCACTATATGGAGAATATATTGAATCTTGAGAATAATAAAATAGTCTTTATGATAAACATTTTTGGAAATATAAAATATGGGAAGAAGGAAATACTCAAATCTTATCTCAGTCATTATAGATAACACAAAAAAAATTGAACAAAAATATGATACTACAAACACAAAAATAAAAGGCAAAAAACTAACAAATTACATAGCAAAGTAACATTACTTATTAGCAACTTCATTGAAGTGGGATGACATGACATAAAAAGTTTCTTAAAAATAAGCAACTACTCTTAAATAAGCAATATTACTTATGAATTAAAAAAATAATATTTTTTAATTTTGATTCTTTCAATGAAAAATAGAGAACACAAATCACTATAAAAAATAGTCATGTATAATCAACCCTTCATTAGCCATGAATCAAAATTTAGTCATCCATCATTTTTATATATTTCTCATGGTTATGTAATTTCTAAACTTTCAATATTTAATATTTTTTATACACATCAAATTAATTGTGTAAATTTTATAATCAAATTTGTTGTTAAAATATTATTTATTTTGTTTAATTATAAAAATTATATTAATTTTTTAAGTTTTCAAAAAATAAGTATAAATAAAAAAATTATAAAAGTACGGGTTCCTGAAGAATGATGTGGCATGTTGGATCCTATTTAAAGTAAAATAAGAACTTTAATAAGTTACATATAAGAACACTCTTCGGAGATGCTCCTATTAAAAAATTTATTTCAAATATTTAATATATATATAATTTACGGTATAATATTATATATATAAAAGGAGGGTTCCGTTTACTCCAGGAGTAAGTATACATAGATTTACTCCGTTCAATAATTTATGTTCTATATCAAATTTCAACGAACCAATAATTGAATTTAAAGTTCTTAATGCATAGATCATGTCTGCAAATTTTTAGAAAATTTAAAAATTATTTAATACTTCATTTCATTAATTCAAATTGACGGATAATCATAAAATCATTTTATACATTGATTTGAATTAATGAAGCGAAGTATCAAATGGTTTTCAAATTTTTTAAAAATTTGTAGATTTGATCTATGCATTAAGAACTTTAAATTCAACGGTTGGATCGTTAAAATTTGATGTAGAACATGAGTTATTGAACGGAGTAAGTCTAGATAGATTTACTTTTGGAGTAACTCCTTATGTATATAATATATATATATATTGTAAATTTATATTAACTATTTACATTTAGTTGGACTCAATAAAAGTGATATAATTTTAGTGAGCCACTACCAATAAGAAAAATTGATATAGGCCCAATAAGTGATTTTCGGATTTGGCCCACTAGGGATTAATGATAATCTAATAAGTTTAAAATCATAAAGATTGTCATGGTTTCTAATAGGTCAAATCAAAATAACGTCTCTCTCCTCCATCACAAGAGAAACATCTTGTCCCATTTACAGAATCCGGCGATTTAATTGAAGAAGATCATTACAGTAAAATACTATTTCGCTGCAACCTTCAATCAATGTTAATAAATCTAGGTATAATTTAAACTCAAAAAACTTGGTAATCTGACATAATGTATATTGTTTATTATTTAGTAATTGTCCAAATTACAACAAGTGGTATTTGAGTCATCATTGTTGTTAGATTATTGGGAATTATTTTTTTGTTGTTGTGAATTTTGTGATAGCATTAATGTGTGTTTGTTTATAAGTATTATTATCTTGTCATGATAATACTTTTGAATACTCACTACTATCATGTTTAAAAGCAAATTTGGCAATTATGGATCTTTCCCATTTATTTACATCTCCAGTAATTTTTTTTAATTAAATTAGTTGATATAGTATGTTGTCAAAGTGACCTCTATTGTGAAGATTGATTTAATTAAAGTTACATAGATGTTAGTATGGTATTGTTTATGTGAATTGTGTTTGGCCCAAAGGAGGATACAATTTGACCAAATAATAACATGCACGTGATGATAGATATATGACAACTATAAAGTATTTTTTCATGTAAATAATAGTCGATCCACACTAGTACAAAAATGACTTTTAAGATCGGGGTTTTAAAATCGGTTATAAGGTAAACAATTTTAAAAGTGACGCGGTGACAATTTCGTAAATAATGACATTACTTTTAAAATCGGTTACGTTATAACCGATTTTAAAAGTCTTTGACGTTACTTTTAAAATCGGTTCTTGAAGACCGATTTTAAAAGTTCCACTTTTAAAATCGGCTATTGAAGACTAATTTTAAAAGTCCACTTTTAAAATCGGTTTCCAATAGCCGATTTTAAAAGTATCACTTTTAAAATTGGTTATTGAACAACCGATTTTAAAAGTATTATCACAGAGTTAAACTTCTATCTTCGCTCCCATTCTCCCCCTAACTCCATATTCTCTACTTTTTTCCTTCAATAAGTTCATATATTCCTCTCTTTACTCTCTCGAACTCTCATCTAAAGTGTGCAGCTTCTCATTTTCTCAGAATAATACAAGATCAAGGTAACATTGTCTTCTATTGTCTCTTATTTCGTTGTTGTTGGGCAAAATTTGTGTCTGGAACGGCCCCAGAACGGGCTGTTCTGCTTACAGTACGAGCTGTTCTGCTTGCAGTACGGGCCGTTCTACAAGCAGTACGGGCCGTTCTGCAAGCAGTACGGGCCGTTCTGGGGCCATTCCAGACTAAACATTTAGGCATTTTTTGAATTCCGGAACAGGCTGTTCCAGTTTAGGTACCCAACTTAGAAAATTAGACCCCTTGTATGTATGTGTTATATATTTGTATTTTATTAATAATTTGTGATATAATTAATGTCTACATAGTAATTTAGTGTTTAGAAAAATTAGTTGCTTTATTTGATTTTATTGGACCTCGACCCATCACCGGCGTTCCCCTGCGTCCGATTCTCGTAATCGGCGTCGTTTGTGGGCAATTCGTACCGGCACACGGGGCAAGAGTTGTGCAGGCGAAGCCAGGGAATCAAGCAGTCACCGTGGTACACGTGCTTGCAGGGCATTTGCGTCACATGCGACCCCTTCTCAAACTCTCCTGGCAAACCGCACACTGGTTCAACTCCGAGTTCAGTGTCTTCGTCGACGGTGACGGTGGGGAGGTTCTTGACGACGTCCTTGGCGGCAGGCGGCGTGCCATAGCGGTTGGGGTCGTTGTCGGCGAGCTGCTGCACCAACTGCTCGAAGCCAGGGCCGGGGGTGCGGAAAAGGGAGTGTAAATTTAGGAATTTTATTTTTTTTAAGGGTAATTTAAACATTATATATATATTTTTTAAAAAAGGGAGTGTACTTATATGAGAGTGGAAGTGTGTTTATCATCAGCCTTATTATTAATATTTTGGCCCAACTAGTCTTATTATTTGGGCTGATAGTCCTTTTGTTCTCCCTAAAGATTCCAGATATGATCATACCATGATTGAGGGTTTAAATTATTTGACCATTATTTGTTTTTGCTTATTTAGCTATTTGAAAGTGTAACGCTCAGTATGATGAATGAACAATCTTTATGTTATTTGATTAGTCTGTTTTATTAATATTCATGTTAATTCCTAACACTTTGTTTAATTTTAAAAGGTCAAATGATGATCATTAATAATAGGAAGAAAAAATAGTTACATGCTACTTATAATATTCTAGCGATCTTGATCGATAACTTTATTAATTTTTATAATAATTAGATAAAAAGTCTTATTGTGATTTCTAGTCAGTTGTCTATATAAAATTTTTACATGAAAATTAAACTCGTCTGTTAACATCCCTCTAAGAAAACATTGTGACAAAATTAAAGTTTATAATGTAGTTGTTACTACTTTAGTATTCAAGTGATTAGAACTCTCATCAGCCCATAACCCTAAGCTGAAGGACCTTGCTCCAAAAACAAGATGGAGATTTAGCCACTTAGGCCCAGTTCATTATCAAGGCCTAATGGGCACTGGCTTTAGTCCAAACTTATTTTTTTATTGTCTTCTTATTTATACTTTTCCCTTCTTTTAACAAGTTAATTAAACCTTTTTTTAACTTTATTAGACTCGATTATTGTTTGAAATCACGTACTTTTTTTTTTTTTTTTGTTT